ACTCGTGAACCTGGCGATTAATTCAGCAATATATCACTTTACTGCTGCACCATTTTCCTGAATGAACCTCAATCAGAACCCTATCTAGTTCAATGGATAGTGCCATATGTGCTGTGACATCACTGCGATCACAGGGGCATCTCACCTGGGTAAATAATGACGTCTGGACAACGGAAGCAAGGTGCTCCTCCTTGCTGAATGCCGTGCTCTATGGCGAGAGTCAGATTGTTCGACACGTGTCGAACATTATCTATAAATATACTTAAGGGCATATCGCGATGTTGATTGCACCTCCATTCAGTCCTTTGATACTTTTAAGACCGAGTAAGAGGTGATTGACGTGCATAACTCCTTAAGTATCAGCAGTGCAGATGTTGCGGAATTGCCCGATCGGAAAATGAACCATCTGTGAATTCCGTAACTTCTTGCTGGGACATTTCCTGTATTGTCCTGAGTTCGAGGTTTTTACTTTCACACTCTTATCACTCTTATCGCTTATTGTCAGGCTTATGCATGTCACATCCGACTTCCAATTCATAAATACCTATAATAAGTTGGGATATTGCCATTTGCAAGGAAATGGGAAACTCCCAAAGGTAAAACCAAAAACCCAGCAAGGGACAAAGAACGAAGGAAATAGCCAATAACAATCAGCAAGAAGGATGGGACAAGCAATAAGTATTTGCAGGAAGATCAAGATGCGGCAATTAACGCCACAAAGTCTGACAGGAGGGGCTTGCGTGGGACTCCAAAATATTTGAAGTGCCACGGAAAACCACAAATAATGATACAGGAGGGTTGGCAAATGTTTTTTCAACATTGGAAATCGAGAGTATGATAATTTCACTTTCATGAAATAAAATAGCATCACCAGGATAGTGTACGACGTACGTTGGAGGTCCTTCCCCTTTTAAGCACGCCTTGAGGCAACCAATTTCCATCGCCGAAAAATAAAACCGATAGAAAAGACAAAAGACGCCCTTTGCTTGTCATGGTGCATCTCGGAGTTGTCCTTTTTCCCTTCGTTCGATTCAGGATTTTCTTTTACTTTATACCTGAACTAATGGTAAATCTGAACATGGACTGAACTATTATACATCGTCGTCAAAGTTGAGGGCATGAAAACTAATAACTTCGCCCTCGAAGGGCGAGGGGGAATGGAAGAAGTAAGGGTTGCAGAATTCACAGAATATCGTTGCGGCTTTAGCAGAAGGGTTGCGGAATTAGCCGAATGCTCATCGGGAAGGATGGTAAGGCAAAATCCAACCCTCTTAATTCTGACGAGAGAAATCCTTCCGTGCTTCGAATCATCCGGTTCGTCTTTCCCTCCCCTTACGGAAATGTCCTACAGGAAACCTATAGTTATTTCTTATAGAAAACCTATAGACTTTCTTATAGGTTTTTGAAACACGAAAAACCTATAGGATCCTATAGGATCCTATAGGATCCCTATAGGTATTATAGGTCACCTGACCTATAGGATTCGGGGAGGATATTTTGGGCTTCGAAACCCAGGCATTAGGACGGAAAAGGCGACAGGGGTTAATATTGGTGCAGCATTTCGGTGTAAATCGAAAACTGATAAGGGGTTTTCCGATGGTAGAGAAACATGTATTATTAGTACCAGTAATGCGGGGGTCTGCATAATTTATGGCCTCGCCCCACATATATCAAAGGATTGCACGTCTACTTCCTTCGGTTGAAAAAAGTAGTATTCTTCTCTCGACCTAAGGAAATATAAGACAGAACCTGCGAGCACGTCTCTTTACTGAAGCTCCATTTGGATAGAGTCTACTCAGTTTCGTACGTGGTTTTCAAAAGGAATGAGAGCATATTTCTTCACGGGACTCAATGATTCTATATGGAAGATGGGGATGAGAAATAAGGAACTCTCGAAGTTTATTGATTCATACAATGAGGCAAGGCGAGACATTTGGGGACGTACAAAACTCTCTTGTGAGATATGATTCCTTGGGCAAGGGGAGGGCACTTTTGTGTCCTTTGAGAAATGTGATAACCCAATACTTCCATCTAGTGCCCTAGAGGAGAACTTCAAACGAAACCATATAGACCTATAGGGTTCCGTATAAGCCCTATTGGTCCTATAGGGTTCCGCACAGGCACTATAGGGAACCCTATAGGTCCTATAGAGAATCCTATAGGTCCTATAGCTAACCCTACAGGTCCTATAGGGAACCCTATAGCTTTTATAGGGAACCCAACGGGTCCTATACAGAACCCTTTGGGTCCTATAGGGAACCTATAGGCCTTATGGGGAACCCTCTTGATTCTATAGGGAACCCTATCGGTTCTGCAGGGGGCTCTATTGGTTCTATAGGGAACTCAATAGGTTCAATAGGGGACTCTATAGGTCCCAAACTGAACTCTATGGGGCATATAGGAACCTATAGGATTCCTTTATGTTCCTATAGGATTCATATTGGATTCCTATATATTTCTTTAGGAATATATAGGAATCCTATAGGACATTTTCGTAAGGGTCACGTTTCATTGAAGGTATAATACAACTTGGTCCTATGCATGCAGACGCCGTTAGCTCCGGTGAAAGAAAGGAACAAATAGTTGGGATCCAAAGTCGTTGCGGGATTCACAGATTTGCCTCTATTCAAAGAATTCCTTGCAACGATATGAAACTTCGGCTCGAACTTGAAGCTTCTTCCTGCATAAGTGTGCCATTTACGTTTCGAGAACCTTTCTTATGAATTTTGTTGCTTTCCATGTATGCAATCAATCTGCAACCCAATGGTAAAGCCCTAATTTCATGCAGTGATGCCACGCGTGCATTCTTGCAGTAGAGTAAAAAAAAAAAGTACATTGAAAAAAGCAGAGGTGTTCTCACTCTTTTCCTATATTTAACTAGCTGCTTTGCCTTTTATTTGCACTTGAGTCGCAGGCGAACACGCTTGGTGGGCACATGGTCACCATGGTCTGCAGTCCGGATCTGGACAGCGACCCGCAGGTAGGGCAGCTCGGACCTAGACTACAGTGTGTAATTTTTTTTACTGAATGGGATTTTTAAGTCAGTGTCATAATATACTGTGTATTGGTCAGTAGCGTGCCCAGAAAATCGCAATTGGAGGGGGGGGGGGTTGACATGAGAAATTGATAACATTTATGGCTAAATTTGAAAAAAAAAGTTGAGAATCGATAGCCTGTTGAATGTATCCCAATGGTTGGGATTGGGTTATGACCCCCAAACCCCCCCCCCCTTGGGCACGCCACTGGTATTGGTATCTTTACAAGTAAAATATTGAATCTGTTTGCCTGGACTGAACCGTGGAGCTAACCCCTCGCATCAAAAGAGTTTTAAATTACAGTGTTTTTCGTGTGATTAGATGATATCAACTTTGATAGAAATTGCCTTGACTTGGCTTCGATCTTGTACAAATGCAACAAAATGATTTCCATCAGTTCCGGCTCCCTGTCAGCTTCCAGGGATCAAGCTATAATCGCCAGAATTGCGGTGGTGCTTCGCGCCGCAGTATTTGGTTTGGGAAGAGGGTGGGACTACAATATGGGCTCCTTGCCCTGGGCACCAAAATGCCTATGAACGGCCCTGAGGTAGCGCGTGACTAAGATTTCGAGATGATTCACGTCAAGGAATGACATACAAGTATCGTACCAAATTTAGGTCGTGAGTCCCTGAAGCGAGTGAGCGATTGCGACGCGTGAAGAGGACATTGACCCGGGCTCACGTTCCAGTCGACACCAAAATCCCCAAGTAGCATATCCGAGGTGAGTCGAAATTGATTCGGGATTTACTCTCAACGCGGCGGATGTTAACACGTTCACTGCCCGAGACGTCTTCACGTCTCCTTCAACTTAATTGACAATAATTTAATATCGAGTAATATGGTGCTCAAATGCAGTGAACAGTGAAATTAACACACATTGAAGCATTACTAAAACCATGTTGACGAATTTCATTCAATTTGTTTCTGTGCTTTGAGAGACATTGTATTTTGTGCAGTAACTTGGAAAAAGACTCCGAACAAAAAAATGGTCGGCACAGCGAGAAAGTTCCCATATGAAACCGACTGGCTGTGAATGTGTTGAAATGCGTGACATTGGGACACAGTGGTAGCTTTTCGTCCTCCGATCCCCCGTCGATAACATCTCTAATTTACTTCATTAACCCTCTTATCACTCCTCGACGCAAGGTGCGTTCAGCACAGTCGAACGAAATGATTTCTGTCTCGGATTTTTCTTGCAATGAAGCCTGTGAAATTAATACGTTTGTACTGTCAACTATTATTTCACTTCAACGTAGTTTTTCTTCGGATATGATTATGACATCCAGTTGAGGATCTCTTCCCTCAACAGAAATTGCCGACTTCTGAGAAGCTTCATATTTTTAGAAAAAAAATTATTCAAATAGTACAGACATTTGGGATGGAAATTGGAAGAAGGGGGGGAGAAGTTGGCGCAATTGCCTCAAATCATATTGGCTTACTGTGAAAAAAAAAATTTTTTTAATTAGCTTACCCAGAACTTAATACTTTACTGTTCGATGCCTTGAAGAAAATTCCGCTTTCTTAAAGGCGCTTATAGGCAAATGTAGATATTTTGTAAGAAACTGGCAAAATTGTCATATTATTGCAATCTGGAGTCTTTGCCGAATTGGGGGAGTTATAATAAATTAGAAAAACTGCAAAAGTTAGACTTTTGAAAAGGTCCTACAAAGGTGTAACATATTGATACTGTATAATACAAAATTTTTCTAAGAGAAAATTTTTTTTTAAGACCAAAAATAATTTCAATTCCACATCTCTCCCATATTTTCGGTACTTTCCTGTTAGGTGGACCCTTCTCCTTTCCTCTATTTCGGTAGCGTTCTCTCTATTGTCCTCTCCACCGACGAGAAGCTACCCTATGAAAAGGAGAAAAATACAATTCGGAAAAAAACTTTAAATGCCGATTTAATCGTGACGTGATTCGCGTGATCGATGTATCATGTTACTCCTGTCAGTCTGCCAATCATGGTTCCATTCCGATTCTACAGGATGGAGAGGAAACGGGGAAAAAGACAAGATGAACCAGTCCAGGATGCAGAGCGGCAAAAGGTACGCTTACTCTCAAACTGTCTCGTAGAAGTGAAGAAGAATACCTACAAGAGATACCTTCTATTCAGCAGGTGCACAATTGCGAGGATATGGAGAAGCTGGCCAAGCTGAAACCATTGAAGAAGCTGGAAGGGGAAGACCCAAGAAAGAAAATGAGGGTTCGCCTTGCTGGATGCGAGAAACTATCTTTCTGTGAAGCTGCGAAGAGGTATCAAATCCAATATTATCCGGAAGCAGAGGGACGGGCTCACTCGTACCCCATTGAATACGCCCTCAAAGGCAAAATTCAGGAGCGACTCTTAAAAGAAGAGAAGGGAAATGCATTCGAGGAAGGCAGTGTCTGTGCAAATGCTCCCATCGTGGCAAAAGCAGAATCTGGCAAACGAGGGCGTGAACATTCAATTAAAAACTTAGAGGAAGCGAGACCCTCCATGAGAAAAGGCGAAAGTAAAGGGATTCCTCCATGTTACACGGCTGTGGCCACGATTTTTCGCTTCTTGAAAGAAGAATTGGCCGATACTCCTAGTTTCATCACCTATGACTATGATTTCAACACCACGTTCTACAGAGCAATGGGGATCGCTGGAAAATATACGAAAAAAAGAGAGACACGCTGGAAGCGAAAGGGATTCACGATCTTGCACGGTGACCATGACGTATGCGGGATCGTGTTCGATGGTGAACGAGTCCTCGTTCTTTTCTTCGAAGTGAAGAGCAACGTGCGAACAAACGAAAAGTACCAACTCGGGAATCTCGTTGGAAAAGCTGAAGAACAGCTCAAGAAGAGTGAAGAGATTTTTCATCAGATCGTAGGAAGAACGGCTTTTACTCATACTTTTCTCTGCAGCTTTCTGGTCGTCCCATACATGTCGAGGGACTTCGTCCGCAAAACCTTGAAATGCAAACCTCATTCCCTTTGCCATGAAAAAACTATCACAGAGGACGATCTGGAGACGAGAGACGCCTTCAGGGTATTCCTTGAAAAACATGGCATCACTCTCACGAGGCAAAAGACAACAACTGAAGAAGCTAAAAAGTGCTATTTGGATGTGATGAGTACATACGTTGCAGCCTCGGCATCTGTGGAGGGTATGCCAAGAACAATGGAAGATCTCCACCAGAACATCCAAGAAAGAATGAAAAGAGCCTTGGTTCTTCTCACACCTCAACAAAGACAGATTTTGGATGATGACCGGTCTGTTCTCTTCTTGGCCGGAGGGCAAGGTACGGGAAAGACCTATCTGCTTCTCGGAAGAGCCCAACAATTAGCAGAAATGGGGGAAAAGGTCGTCATCGTAAACATGTCAGCGGGAGAGCTGACTCGGAAAATGACCGACTGGTTGGATTCGCCTAAGTTCCATGAATTCAAGGACAATATAACAGTCATGGATTCTTCGGAGTTTCTTGGCGGTGAACGACGAGGGATAGACCTTCTTTTGGAGAAAATCAATGATAAAAAAGACAACCATGTTCTCATTGACGAAATGCAGATCAACTTCGACACGGACGGGAGGGATCCGGTGGTGATCGGACGAAAATGGAAAGCCCTCGCTGAGAAAAAGAACTGCAAAAGCCTTTGGATCAGTTGGCGTCCCAGCGATGCCTCTTACTCCGAGACCCTCGATATCCAAAGTGTTGTGGATTCCTTGGGGCGAGAAAAAGTGGAACTACTCACGGAAATTAAACGAAGCACGAAGGAACTCGGGGAGTTTGTGATAGAAGTGACCCAATTCATTCACAAGAGGCTTCCGTGCTTGATGTACCTCCCGATGCAAGGCCTGGAATATGTATTCCATCACAGTGGTGATCTGGGTGAAGAAAAGGAAATACCTCGAGTTGTTTTCGTCCGAGCTCCTCCGACTGACAATGAGGTTTACTTATGGACATCAGAGGCTGCCATGGCTATTCAATCATGGATTCCGGATTCCCGAATCCTCACCATCGTCACTAGGATAAACCAGGAAAGGAATGCCTTGGTGCGTGAACTTGAAATTGAACTGGGACAAGAAGTCGCCTTCCTCGACGAGAAAGGGAAACTTCGAGGACACCCCCAACCCCGATTCCTCGTCTTCTATCAAAATCAGGTGACTGGGATGTCGTTCCAGAATCTCATTCTCTTGGATGGTGGAGAGAACACCTATTGGTCTTGGTCTCGTATGGTGGGGATGGCTCTTGAGTCCCTCCACGTGATCACGTCAGACCCACTCCCCTCCGGTCACTGGGAAGAACCTGCAGAAATGGGACTCATCTCCTGCTGCTCTCTCAGAAAACCCAAGAAGTCATCTTCTGGTGTTTCTTTGGCTCCACTCGAAGAGAGTTCTCATGCGGAGATTTCGTGGAGCACTTTCCCGGAAGAAAAGACTCCCAGTTTACCCGGTGCCGAATGCAAGTTCGAACTACTCTTCGGACCGAATCGTTCTGGCAAAACTGCATTTCTTTTCGATAGACTGAAGAGAAAAATGGAAGAGGAAGACGAGGAAATGCGGAAGTCTAAGGACACTTCATCCAGATGGAAAACGCCGGTAGACCGCAAAGAAGACGAAAGTGGGGAGCGCAAGCATCGGATTATATTCGTGGACTGCAGCAGATGCAACAGAAATCTCTATCCTCCTCGCCTCTCTCTGGTGGACGTGAAAGAGAGGATGAAGAAGAGAGAAATGTTGAATTTGGTCGAGGTCTACGATGTCCACGACCTCATCCAGCAGCACGACCTTCAAGCAAATATGTCTCTTAACCCCCAGGTCATTAAAGAACTTTTGGTGAAGATGCTAGAGAAGGGCATGAATAAAAGACAAAGACTTCATGTAGCCTTCGACGATCTACCCGTTGGACGTGGAAGACCTGGAGACACGGATAGTTTGAGGGTGGAATGGGAGGAGATCATCTCTTCACTCTCGTCCCATGCCTCTCTCGCTTCTCTCACCATTGCCTTCAATCCCTATATAGGATATGACACGATCAACTTCGACGTGAAAATGTTCAAGAAGGAATTCCACCTCCCTCCACAAACAAGTAAGATCATTACTTCTCGTATCATGTACAACCAACGTGCGACGAAATCGTCTTAAATCCAACCATCCCTACAAAAAATGTCGTTTTCCTCCTATTGCTTCCATGTTGAACGGTTCGAAGCGCACTCAGGAGACAAATGCGTTCTCAAAATTAAGGAATGATAAAGGCATTCGTGTCAGACGAGGACGGCATGCGAACGTACCACGTCCGACCCCTAGGTGGAAAATCCGGATGGAATCCACCGACTGGAATCACTCTCGTTAGCTGTCGGATGTTCACCCTCGTATGGTTCCCGAACTTTCATTCCGAGGCATCTGGTGGAAGGGAGAGATAGCGTCGAGAGGGTGAATCGAGTCGGCGTTTTTGCATTTGCTTCCAGAATAGATCCTTGTTGCGTTCACCCCGTTAAAAAGATGGACGCATTTCTTTTCCGTATGGAATGGTCGACGAGGAATACGAAGTCTGTTGACGTTGACGAGCAACGATCGAGACGAGTATCGGCTGAAGCGAAAGGGAAATCCGGATTTCCCTGCCTCGAACGTTGCCGGGTCCGTTCGGAACGCTCCGAGGTAGACACCGACAAGAAAGTGGACCTTTAAAATGTGGAAACGGGAATTCATGCACGAATGAGAAGAGGAAGTGCAGATGTTTTCTCCGATAGCCGTGTTGTTCCTCTAACGCCTCGGAATCGCATCGGGGAAGAAAACTACTTTTAGGAGCCTTTCTTTTTTCCAGTTCTTTCCAGTCCCGCTTTTCATTTCTTCTTCTGTGAGTAGTCCGAATGTATGATTCGCTTCGAAATGAGAAATTTAGACGTTTTCGGTCGACGCGTCCGAGTTTTTCACCTCATTCGAGGATTCCTCGATTGCGTTTCCCTTACGAAAATGTCTTATAGGATTCCTATACATTCCTTTAGGAATATATAGGAATCCTATAGGAATCCTATAGGAACCTAAAGGAATCCTATAGGATCCTATATGCCCCATAGAGTTCAGTTTGGGACCTATAGAGTTCCCTATAGAACCTATAGATCCCCCTATAGAACCTATAGATCCCTCTATAAAACCTATAGATCCCCCTATAGAACCAATAGGGTTCCCTATAGAACCAATAGGGCTCCCCATAAAGCCTATAGGCTCCCTATAGGACCCAAAGGGTTCTGTATAGGACCCGTATTGTTCCCTATAAAACCTATAGGGTTCCCTATAGGACCTGTAGGGTTCGCTATAGGACCTATAGGATTCTCTATAGGACCTATAGGGTTCCCTATAGGGCCTAAAGGGTTCCCTATAGTGCCTATACGGAACGCTATAGGACCTATAGGACCAATAGGGTTCCCTATAGGGCTTATATGGAACCCTATGGGCCTATAGGGTTCCGTTTGATGTTCTCCTCTAGGCCACTAGATGAGATGAGTATTGGGTTCTCGCATTTCTCAAAGGGCACAAAAGTGCCCTCCCCTTACCCAAGGAATCATCTCTCACAAGAGAGTTTTGTACGTCCCCAAATGTCTCGCCTTGCCTCATTGTAGCAATCAATAAACTTCGACAGTTCCTTATTTGTCATCCTCATATTCCAGATATAATCATGGAGTCCCGTGAAGAAATATGCCCTTATTCCTTTTGAGAACCACGTACGAAACTGAACAGACCCTATCCAAAAGGAGTTTCAGTAAAGAAACGTGCTCGCAGGTTCTGTCTTCCATTTCCTTAGGTCGAGAGAAGAATGTTATTTCTCTCAATCGAAGGAAGTAGACATGCAATCCAGCGACACGTGTAGGGCGGGGCCATGAAATATGCAGACCCCCGCAGTACTGGTATTAATAATGAATGCGGCCCTACCATGGAAAAAACCCTAATCGGATTCTGATTTACACCGAAATGCAGCGCCAATATTAACCCCGGTCGCATTTTCCGTCGTAATGCCTGGGTTTCGAAACCCAAAATATCCTCCCTGAATCCTATAGGTCAGGAGACCTATAAGACCCTATAGG